TTACAGTGTTGTTTTAGCGCGAGTATTGAGATTAAGTGTATCGCTTATTTTATATAATGAAACTTATTTATAAAGATACTATATACAAGTTGTTAAATGTCAGCCCATAATATTGACTTTTAATCAATTTTGACATCAGTTGCCTAACTGAAATTAAATATTTCTTCTTGATCATGAAGAATAAAGATATATACATATTAACTGAAATAATGCAAAACTAATTTAAAAATATTCGATCAAGAACTTCAGTTGCAACCATTGCTTTCATTGTGATAAAAACTTTGACAAAAAGTATCTAACCTACATGCTAGGCATGCTTGTGCATGATTATTAAACAAGCAGATAGGCTAATCTGCTTGTTTACTAGTTTGCACATGTATTATTCCTTTTCCAACCCTCATCATTTGTAGATATTCTAAAGCAAACAGTACTGTTTTTTAGACAAATATTTGAATAATACGTCTTAATATATGTCAAAATTAAGTATTTCCAAAAGAAAAGTTAAATAAATAAAAACATTAACAAACACATGATTCAATGAAGTAGAAAATGTGTACATATTTCAGATACTATATATATATATATATATATATGACAAATATGTTTCTGACAGTGCAACTGGAATATTTATAAAGAAATAATGCCATCTGACATGCAGAGTTACACAAGTACTCACTCTAGTCACAGCTTCAAGTTTGGCCCCTTTATCAAGAAGTAATGTCACCATGTTCAATTTACCCCATTTTGCTGCAACATGTAGAGGAGTTATCTGGTGCTAGAAATGTGAAATTGTATAATTAAGAAAATATTAATTATTACCCTTTAAAGCTTATACTTTATTTTCCAAAAGTTGAGGTTGAAAAGTTTGCTTGCTTCAATTTTCCCCTTGTGGTGGGAATTTTGGTAAAAAAAAGAACATAAATCTATCTTTACTCATTGGTGATAAAACAAAAGATGCTTATAGAAAACAAGATATCCTGAAAGAAAATCTAGAATGGTGATGTTCAACCAGTGGACTCTGTAATGTATAGACATTAATTACCACTCCCAAAAACAATGCATACAAACAGAAAGTAAAACACTAAAAGAAAAAATAAAACTAATTACTAACTGCATTTTATGGATAGAAATATCTTCCCAACAAAGATGTGTGTCTGCCAAAGTAAAACACTGAGCCAAGAAATTTACAACTGACATCTTTATTAAATAATTACATAAATTATTTCATTATTAACAGCTAGATAAAGATTAATAATGATACATAAAATATTTCACAAAGTATGAAGCTGAAAAAACTTAAAAATAAATAAATATACATTTGTTATAACATAAAGAGAAAGCAAGTAATAAAAACTCAACATATTTTCATATAGTAAACTTCAAAAGGAACTTCTAATAATTAAAATGTTAATGTTATTCAAAGTTTAGGCTGCCTGTTCATGTAGAGAACATATAACTTCTTATATTCTTTTACTTTCATAATATGAGTAAGCAATTTAAAAAAATTACATTAGCATATGCCACATTTATATATTTTTTAATTCTTGCTTTAAAAACTGCACTATTCTTGTATAATTAACCTCTTTGTAATAAACCTCTATATTGAAAAATAATAGCGATAACGTTGGCATGCAAATAGTTACTTTATTTAAGTTTTTTGAATTTTTGAGTGCACAAAATATTAAAAACATAACTTACTTTGGCATGAAAGTTTACATTTGCTCCTTTTTCCAGTAAAATTAAAGCCATATTTTCATTTCCATAATGTGCAGTTATGTGAAGAGGTGTAAAACCACTCTAAAGCCATGCATAGAAAAAATGCTAATAATTAAGTTTGCATTGGCACTAATCATTCATCATATCTTAAAGGGCAAATTAATTATTATATCATCAAAAAAAACGAAAAATTTTTTTTAAATGAATGTACCCAGCATATATTTGAAATAATTAAATTCCACATCAAAGAAAAGATAAGTCCATTCATACAAATTAAAAAAGTAGTTTAAAATATATCATAAATGCAATTCCAAATAAGGTAAATTAACAAATTCTGATCAAGCTTTCACACTCTGAAACAAAAATACTAAAGTAAAATTGTTTTTATTTTTTGACATTCTGACAAGTAGATTGTAGATTAATGTTGTTTATGTATTTACATTAAAACTAAGTATTTTAAATGTATTACATTAAAACTAAGCATTTTAAATGTATTGAATAAAAACATAATTTATCCTTTAATATAATGAATAAAATACAAGTAGTATGTATGCATACACACAAGCACAGTACATGTTCATACATGCTTACAAACATGTATATATTTTGATCATGATAATTTTAAAAGAAAAATCAACAGTAACATGTATTAATCAAAGTCTCATGAAAATTATGTTTTGCAGTAAAATCAAAAACTAAAATCTGTAAATGCTTATAAAAACAACAGCAAGCACTACTTGCTATAATTATGGTTATACTGTACATATTCTTTGTTTGCTTTTTTTTTTTGCAAATACAAGTTTCTGGAAAATATAAATAAATGGTTTATTTGTTATCACAATTATAAAATCCTTACATATGTATACAAATGTTTATCGACAATGAAAGTTTCAACTCATAACTTAATAAATCTTGTATGTTTGTATTTATTTTCTAATGCAGTCTTTATTGGTTTTCACTGCTTAGCAGTATTATCAACATACTTCAGATTGGTATAAGTATTGTTTAGGATTTTCCCCCATCGTAATATTCATATCTGTATGCACATACCACTGAAGTAACATCTGGATTGTCATCATCCTGTAGCAATAAAGCTGCAGCTCTACAGTCATCCTTCTTAGCAGCAATATGGAGAGCAGATAGTTGCACTTTTCCTTTTGTTTCATTTTCCAATAGTACAGAAACCACCTTGTTGTGGCCTTGCTGTAGTGCTACTGCTAATGGAGTAAAGCCATCCTAGAAAACAATATAATTAACTTCCTTCTAAAGACTTCTATGTAGTAAATACTAAACATAACAATTTAATGAAATTTTAAATAATTAATTTAGGAGAGAAAGTGTGGGTTTAGGATCTTTGATATTATATAACAACTAGGTGAAACAAATAGACATCTTAGTGTCTTAAAGTCTTGCACAATGACATAGAAAATTATTGTTGCAGCATTTTACAGTTTTTTTTTTTTAACCAAGTACAATTTAAACTTGTTTTGTACAACCAAACAAGTTTCTATGAGACATCTATTAGTTGATTATTCTCTAATTCCACAACTAAAATAATATTTGAACACTGTATTGTATGTTTTAAGTAAAATACAATAAACCAATAAACTTTCCAACTTTTACTGACATCATTATTAAAGCATTCTTTAATTAGTGTCTCTCATATGTTTTTCAGCTATTAGTCTGTTAACCTTCTTTGGCAAATTCCAAACTGCTTATATTCTTTATGTACAAATAAGTTAAAAATTATATATGATTCTAATAACACCTGCGCTCATGGTTTGACCTACCAAATTTTCACCGGATATTCATACATTTCCAATATTAATAATAATAAAAACTGCATGTCAGCGGGGTTACAATAGCATTTTTTTTCTATTGACAGTTACGTGGAAAAAGTGGTGGTAAGACGCAAAGCCACTAGTAACTAATAGGATAACAAATACACCTGAACTGGTTTGAAATGACAAATATTTCAACTAAACTCTAAAGGTAAAAATATTCCTTACAAGAACAACAAGTTTTCGTAATATTTTTAATCATATACATTACTGATGTATTATGGCCTGCTAAGTCTTAAACAAAGGTGTAATAGCTTATTGATAAGTTACTTAGTATTTTCAATTTGTAAACTATGTTAATTCTCGTAGAGTATTTGTTGGGTTTACACAACTTCTATTTTTTTTGTAATCTTTTCATCTTAGTTTTACTTGATACTTTTTAGTCTTTATTTATACTTTCTATATTTACAATTTAAGTTTTGATTCTAATTTGTATTTTTTTCCATAGCGGTTGGAACAAGCTAGATTACCTAAATAATTCGCTTTTTTTGTTACACTTGCCATTAAGCTTTAATATTTCGTTTACTTCGTAAGTAATGATAAGACCTAACGACATCTATCATGTATGTTTATAATTCCTGTGATTAAAGTCGCAACTAACAAAGCCGTAGACCCCCCCCCTTCCCCCCACTGCTAAACGGTAAATCTAAGGGCTTGTGTAGTTTTGCGCTTAACAACAACTAAATTAAATGGTTTAACTTACTTGTTAGAAACAACTTTTCAATTTTATTTTGTAAAAGAAACGATTGTGACTTAAATATCAGCAGCATTAGTAAAGTCTAAATTAAAAAAAAAATTACAACAAAAATATTTTATCGTGATGGTATTGGAAAGGGTAAGTATGCTTCAAAACATCATCAGTTTAATTATTGTACTATTTTGATTGTATACAGTTGTTTGGTGTGAAATAAGCCAGAAATGAGCTTGTTCAAAAGGCACCTAATCAGCAATCACATTTCACCTTCTTTCTGTAGCTGACACGAGAATCCGGAAATAAAAGTAAAGGTTTGTTTGTTTGTTTTTGAATTTCGCGCAAAGCTACACATGGGCTATCTGCGCTAGCCGTCCCTAATTTAGCAGTGTAAGACTAGAGGGAAGGCAGCTAGTCATCACCACCCACCGCCAACTCTTGGGCTACTCTTTTACCAACGAATAGTAGTGTTACGTCTCCGTTTGTTAATTGATTTTCCGTAACTTCGTTCCAACGAAACTTTAACGACACAAGTCTTTACTTAATAAAACTGGTTTATTCTTTCCGAATATAACTACACTAAATAGATGTGTAAATAAAAATAAAATTGTCAAATAAAAGGTCATCAACATCACAACTGTTAATTATCTTAGAGTGAATGTTAATAAATAATTATTTTATTGTAAGTAATAAATTTCTATACACGATAAAAAGTAAATACAATCAATAAACACCCAATTCCTTTATTTCACCTTTGTTTTTGCTGTGATTGCAGATCCTCTCTTCACAAGTAAGTTAACAACGTGGTCTTGACCATTTCGAGCTGCACAGTGCAAAGGAGTTAATCCATCCTTGAAATAAAATTTAATTACTTTATACAAAACACAATTAGACAGATGAACAGAGGAATAAATGCACTGAAAAAGCAATAAAAATTTATAAATATTAGTCATTTATCATTACTGAGTACTCAAATACCAAGTAATGTGATTCTTTCTACTCTTAAAAGTCAATATCACTCTGAACATAAACCATACACAACAGTCAGTATCTTTTCTATAATGCCAGAGCAAAAATATTATTTTATATAACAAAACAAAATGAGCACAATACAGGAAAGTATTGTTCATTTTGAGATGTGAGGAAATGAGATTCTCCTTTACATTTTATTGTGTTTTTCTGGGGTCAACTGATTTTGATATAGATTAGAATCAAGTGATGCTGATTTGGAGAGTGTTGCTAAGGTTCTGAAGATGTTCATTCACTTCACTTGTCTTGAATCTGTGCTTTTAAAAATATCTCATTTCACTTAGCAGTTATACAAGATAGTTAAAAAGTTGTTTGTTGTAAAGCACAAAGCTACACAATGGGCTATCTGTACTGTACCCACCACAAGTATTGATACCTGGTTTTTGGTGTTGTAAGTCTTCAGACATATCACTGAGCCACTGGTGGGCCTTTCACATGGCACCTAGTAGTAACTTCATAAAATTTATAGCATTTTTTGCTTTATTTCTTTTATTAATGATCAGTTTATTTTCCATTCCTCTATTAATTGTTAAGCTATAAATATTAAAACCCATGATTTTATTTATATCTCATGTATAAAATTGATAATACTCGTCCAATTAAATGTTGTTCTTTGTTATTTTTATCTATATTTCTGAGTTACAAAAGCATAATAATTTGCAAAATATGTAAGAAAACTAAATTACGATCCATATACATAATAAAATCTAGTGAAAATTCATAGTTGAAACCATGTCAAATGTTTTATCAGTAGGTGAGATCTTCATCAGTTGCATAAAGAATTTAGTATTGACCAGGATTAAGTAAACTTTAGTATATAAACACGTGAATCTTAGCTAGTTTAATTATGCCGATACTTTTTGTTTATGTAATACTCTTCTTTACAATTCATTGTTGCTTAAAAAATACAAATATTAGAATCTATTTGTTGCCTCAGTCTGGCATGAATTTCACAAAAGATGTGATCATCCAGTCCTAAATTTTTTTTAACAAACTGGTCATGCTCCTTTGAATAAGTTCGTTTGAGAAAATAAAAGTTTATCAGAGGTTTTACAAACCCCAAAAATGGCACATTCACTAGTTATTCCTTATGTTATTTAAATAGTTTTTACAAAGGACATTCATCTTTGAATATTTGTCATCATAGAATAATGTTGAATGCATAATTCAGATTTTAAGCTGAATGTTTTATTAAGACAACCTACTTGGGTAAAGTTTGGTGAATTAATAAACAGAAGAAAATGTTTCTGTTCTTTGTTCCATATCATAGCTAATGCTACTGAAAATAATGTTATATTAAATATTTTGAGAATTTATAAGGAAAAACTTTGTATGCTTAAAGTTGTTAAATTAGAACTAAATTTTAGAATAAATTGTTAAAGTAAATGAACTTGAAATGAGTAAATAAATATCTACGTATTTTCAATTTGTGGAAATCATGACCTCTTGGCTGTAGCAAAAGGTCTAAGAAATCCAAATTGTTTTATATCTATGGAGAACAAATTATTTACAAATTAGTTGGGATATGCTGAACTTTGCATAGTTTTGAGGCACATTTAAGGCATACTGTTTATGAATTTAGTTGTTATTAATTTATAATAATTATTTAAAAATGAATTTACAGTATAGAGTAAAAGTTTTTTTTTTTTAAGGGTAAACATAATATAAAAACCCACTGTTCGCATAGATTTTTACTCATGATAATGATGGTAGTGGAAGCTACTGAAACATATAGAGTCATTTTTAATTTTTTTAAATTTTATTGTATAATGTAAACGTTGTTTTGTCTATATTTTAAAATAAAATAGAGACAATGTCAGATGAAATGTAGCATGGCATTCATTTTATGGTTTCATTGGTTCTTGAGCAAGTTTCCTTAATCTACTAACTTCGTACCATTACAACTGAACTTTACCCCTCAAGTTCAGCTAATTTATGATCCCCAACTGAATTTTCAGTAGGGCATCATTTATTCTTCTTATTCTGTTTCTGAAGCTCTAATAAAGGTTCCAGAATATTCTTCAAAACTTGTTTTTAGAGCTTCTGGTTACTTATTCTGTGTTTGTAGTCACAATATTGACACTTCTTCTCGGGTGTTTTCTGCAGGGCTGATGTTTTCATTGGATTATTACTTCTTGCAATTGTTTGCATAATATTCAGTGTTTTCAAAATGG